AATTTTTATTAAAAATATTTAAATTAAAAATTTAAAAAAAATATAATAAAAATATAAATTTTATAAATAATTTTATATGAAATTTTTAATAGAAAAAAAAAATTATAAATTCATTCGTATTAGTATTCATTAAAATTTGTAGAAATCAACATTAAAAAAAATTAGTATCATATTTAAATTCCTGATGTAATTATATCGTTTCTTGAAATATATATTTTAACTCTTCTATTTTAAAATTAGAGAGACAATAATAGAAAAAATAATAAAATAAAATATACGTATTCTACGAATGAAAATGACATTTGAATAAATTTCTCTATTGGTATTACCATTACTAGGGATGTCTTCGTTATTACCGGCATACCGGAAATTATGAAATATCGGCGAATCAGTTATTCCATTTCCGCCAATCATTGCTTCGTTTCAACATCCAGTTCGTTCCCTTGTTTTCACAAGTAATTTTCTTTGCTTTACCTATATCCTTAACAACGATATAGCATTAAAAATTATTTTTATATGTTAAATCATATACAATGTTTTTATATCTTCAATTTCTATATTACTTACGTATACACACTCTTATTCTTCGATTCGCTTAACATAAGCGAATCATTTTCTTTGATTTTATAAAGCTAAGGAAGGCAAATATATTTTTAATTGAATTCTATACTATACTTTTTTCTTATAATTTCCTCAAAATTGTTACAAATTGATCTTCCTTTCAATGCAAACTGTTCAATTTAAAAAAAGTCATAAAAATATTAACCTCCAATTTTTTCATCTATCGAAAGGCTTCCAGCAAACGCGAAACCGCAAAAGTTCGAACTGCAATTGTAAAAGTAATCATAGAGATTGCTAGAAATCTCTTTGCTCGATGTTTAAAGGTTTCGAACACAACTCAATTGCTCGATCACGCATGTATCTAATGATAAAGAAATACAGCCAGGTCTGGTTCATACGATTGCATCCGAGAACTAGATGTTCAAAATGGCGTCCGGTCATTGTTATTACCACATAAATAAACGAACTGAAAAATTAAAAATGGAGTTAGAAAAAAATAAGGAGAGAAGAATCGAAAACACGTGTGTAAAAATTGCGTTGTTTTACCTTTTCAGGATATATCGAGCGGTTACACGAGGAAAGCGCGGAGTAATGATCAGTGATACGCGGTCCGAGGTGTTGACCGCGAATTTCAAACAGGCGAGTCGCACCGTGTATGACTGGCGGCGTAAATTCGCCTTAAGCGGTAACCTATTGTTGAGAATTTTTCTTGGCCTTTGTTATATCACGGGTACAAATTGCGATTACGGGAAAGAGAAAATGCGTGGGACCAACAACAACATGCAGAACCGATCTCAGCTCGGTTATTGCGATCTGGAAGAGACCTGCGATTGGTCGTGGAATCAATTGGAGGGTTTCAAGAAAACCAGTCCATCCTTGCGAAATAAATTGGGGCCTAACGTGGATGCCAGTAATTCTACAGAGGGTAAGATGCGTGAGATACGTGATTAATTACTTCTCTCTCACAAATTAATTAAAATTTTAAATCTTAAAAGTCTACGTGAATATTCAATTGAGGGTACTGAGATTTTTTTAAATTTATTTACTCTAGATATATCCAAAAGTAGGGAATCAAGATCAGTTTTAAATAAATAATTTTCAATTTAACCAATATTTTAAGATAGAAGAGAAAAAATATTTGGAGAAAATGTGGCGAAATATCTAAGATATTAATTTCGATTTCCACTAGGACATTTCTTATGGTTTACTGGCTACGGGAAACCTCAAATGTGGTCCGGTAAAATCCCTCCAACTGGATCACGTTGCATATTAGAATTAGCTCTATACCAAGTTGAAATGAGCAATGGTATTATCAAGTTACTCATAATTACAAACAATACAAGTTGGATTGCCGTGGAGAAGCAAGGAAATAATCATACAAAGTACGTAATTTTTTCAACGATAAATTGCTTAGTATAATAATAATTAAAAATATTTTTTGATAAAAATTGGAATTTATCTGTTAAATTACAGATGGGAGATAATGCGTTTTACAATAGGTACTATCACTCAATCACATTCGTTACTTATAGAGATGTTAGTACCCTATTCTAATTCTAGCATCGCTATTGATAATGTTCGCCTAATCGAATGTTTTCCGGGTAATTATGAATTATTAAAAATTGTTATATTGCAACAAATTATTATTGATTTTTCTTATACGTGAGCCATACTAAAATTTAGAAATATAATTAAATATTTTCCAAAATATTAATCTTTAAATTTTATTGCATTTATTTATTTGATAAAATTAATTGTAAAAACCTTTTTTTATTTCCATTTAAATTCGCAAATAGACATTCTAATATGAAATTTTACAATATTTTTCAGTATGTCCCACGTATATAAATTTTTTAAACATTTTTTAAACAATAGTACATCATTACACACGTTCTATTATTACTGCTTTATAAATTATAACTACAATGCTTACGATATTACACATTTTCTATACACAACGAAACAAAATTATAATTTTTCGTTTAAACGAATTCAATATCCCTTTCTTATAACTCTACATCAAAATATAATCACGCTATATACAATATTATAACAAGTTAGAATTATACCACCGCATTCACCACGCGCATAAATATAATACCACCGGTGGTCAAAGAAAATAAAAGCAACGGTCACAGTTGAAAGGAAAATACGAGAAATTTCTAGGTATCTAGAAAGTTTGACGCGGCATAATCTAAACAAGTGAAAAGACTGAACAAACACTGCCTTGCTTATATACGTAAGAAAAGAGAAACAAATGCATCGTTATTTGCAGAATCAACAGCGGTGGAGAACTGCACGAAAGACATGTACCGCTGTAAGAATGGCTCGTGTTTAAACAGAACACGTGTCTGTGACCTAACAAAAGACTGTGCCGAGGGCGAAGACGAGGAGGATGACTGCGGTAATTGTCAAATTATTATACCTCCACTTTCTTCCTCCGCGGTCAGTTCAGTTCGTCATTGTGCCGCGGACATGACAGATCGTAATCGAGAAGGGTGTTTCAGACAAAATACCGGAGAACGCGAGATGCAATTTCGAGAATGGATGGTGTGGATGGAAAAACGTACCGGGAAGGCCTTTAAACTGGACCCTCCATCGTGGCGCAACACCGTCCGAGAAAACTGGACCTAGTTACGATCATACATACCGCAATGCGTCCGGTTCGTATATAGTTATGTATATGTATGTACATATTATGCCTTCGTGTGCACGTTTCAATGAAACTTCCATTTTCGCTCGGTTTTAAATACATTTGTCTGGATTTATTGTAGCGCGTTTAACTCTTTTAT